CGGTGACAACGACTCCTCCAGCTATGGCAACAACTCTAGCTCCAAGAAGGACAGCTACGGTAGCAACAACAACAACTCTTCCAGCTACGGTGACAACGACTCCTCCAGCTATGGCAACAACTCTAGCTCCAACAACGACAGCTACGGTAGCAACTCTAGCTCCAACAACGACAGCTACGGTAACAACTCTAGCTCCAACAACGACAGCTACGGTAACAACTCTAGCTCCAACAACGACAGCTACGGTAACAACTCTAGCTCCAACAACGACAGCTGCGGTAACAACTCTAGCTCCAACAACGACAGCAGCATTGGTAGCAAGCTGCTCGACAAGGCTCAAGGTTCGTGATTCTTTTTCTTTCTGCTACAAGGCTTTGAGGATTATAAGCTAACCTATGTTTCATTTTAGGATACCTCAACGACCGTTACTAAAGTCGTTCTTCACTGTTAGATAAGGCAACCAGTAGAAATGAACGATTTTGCTGGGTTGTGTCGTTTGGAGACTAGTATATGCTGAGGCACAATATAACTATGATTTATCCATTACGATTAAGAATATATATTCCTAGTTGTTTATTTCTGTAAAAGGCTACCGTGTCGGTCTTAATGTGAGGAGACCTCTGTTCTTCTCTTGCCTGCTTCGAACTCTGAAGGACATAGATAAAGCGGTCTGAAAATCCAGAATACTAGCCAGCCTTTTGTGCCACGAATCCAAGATACTGAGCATACTAGGATAGTTCAGGTACTTAGACAGAGGACGAATGGCATGTCCATTGCCGACGAGTGACATGTCAATAGTGCTGCGAGTGTTTCGAAAGCTGGCCATGAGGGAAGCTAACAGGTCTTTCGCAAGTTCACGACCGAAGTCAAGGCCAAGGAAAGGGATACAGACTGTGGGAAACTTGGAAAGAACGTTGGGAGCAATAAGACAAAATGATATAAATGGAAAGAGAATCATTCAAAGAAGTGGAAGGTAGGAGGCTTAAGCAGGTACTTATCACGTCATAGCACTCCTTAGCCAGGTAGGTTAAGTGTATTATATACCTCACTTTGACCTCAGACCTATTAACCTTAGTGCCAGAGATTTATCGCCGTTAGTGGCATTGACAATAGACGCGGGAAGGATCTGTACCTTGTACAAATGCTAGCTAGATAGCTGGTGGAAGCCTAACAAACATCGCATCTGCACATCTGTCTCAACAGTCATTCATACAGTTTCCTTCATAAATGAAGCAAAATCACAATTTTTGTCCTCATGGAGACCTTTCATATCCTTCGCCTTAATAGGGCTTTACCCATATCATTTACTGGTACATCTAATATCACATTTTCGCACAAAGCGTGGTACAGTTAAAAACTTCAGAAAACAGTTTACCCCTGCATGGTGATGCAATAATGATAGTGAGACTAAGCTAAGTGACAAACAACTAAATATATAAGAAGGATTGCTAGAATTTCCCCTCAAGATTTCTCACAATGTCCGGCAAACCACCTAACGATTATCAAGAAGTCAGACCCCAATACACCCAAGATGACTTATAGCATGCCTCGAATCTTCTATAGCAGTTGTGTATCATGCGGACTGGATATCTCAACAACAACCCCTTGCTTTTTAAGTGCGCCACTCCTTATTCTGTGGATTTACTGTTTGTTTATTGGAAGTACTTGCTAACTAGTGCTTAGTTCATTCAACTACGTCGGGCGTTCAAATGATGGACATTTCTTGGAGTAACAAGGGCTACGAAGATGGGAGGAGATGGGAGGAGATTGCCAGACTGATAAACACTACCTCCCCAAGAAATCCACCAAGAGGATTTTTGATTCATCAGTGCTGTTGGGTGCTTCTTTCGAAACAATTCAAAAGTGGTGAATTGGATCCGGAGAAGTTTCTCGAAACCCTAAGAGAGAAGCCCCCGCAATTGTATAGAGATTTGTATTCTAGAAACATGCGTGAGTGCATTGTATCATTCAATTGTACTCTTATAACAAAAAGATAAATTACGCTAACTCTCGGGGCCTATCATAGGCTTTGTATCCAACCCGCCGAGCTTCCATCAATGCTTCCGAAATGCGGGGTTTCGTGTAGCTGCCCAGGCCTTGCCAGCCATGGATGGATCATACGTTCTACGCGGAAGTTCCATGAATGCACACTACTTCGAATGGATTCCCCTTGAAATACGGCTGGAGATTGCAACTTGCCTATCAACTGTGGACTTCCTCAACCTACGACTCTGTTCAAGGGCAATGGCGGACATATTCGAAGATGAAACATTCTGGAAAACAAGGTTTTTCGTCCATGGCGACAGAGGCTATCTTGCCTTTCTAACTGAAGGTATCCAGCGTGCAAGAGACTGGCGACTGATTTACCGTTGTACTCACGACTCTTCTAAATTACACCCTGAGCTCCGCATTAGAAGACAATATTGGCAGCATAACCGATGGCTGAGAGATGTCTATATGATGACTAGGAAACAAAATCCTCCATTGCAGGCTCAAGTTGACAATACAAAGTCTCTACAGTGGCAAAAGGCTGCTGGGCAGATGATCTGTCCTAGGGAAGTTCGGAGGTTGATGAGTGGAGCTAATAGCAAATTGTGTCCAACATGTCGTACCAAGCATGAAGCATTGACTCAATCAGTCCCCTTCTCCAAAGATGTTGTGGGACTCGCTATCTCTGTTCTTTCAGACCCATGCTCAGACCCAGACTCACCGCACACTTTTGTCGCCGGCTTGGAGCTTATTTATCCTAGTGATATGCCGAATACTGTTCTTGGTTATCGCCTTCCAAGCAATCAAATAATGATTAATCTTCAATAGAGGCCGCTTAGGGGATTTGAGGTGATGCTTGGAGAAGGAGGTGTTCGCGCAATACTCCCGGTTTTCAGTAAGATGAACGATTGGATTGGCAAGCCCGTTGATGAGTTCTGCGGGCCCATGCGACTCACAACGGACAATGAGATACTAGCCCTTTCGGTGGAATTCGATGTAAGTTGTGCTGATCGCCGGTCTACTCAGCTTCTTATGATTGTCATTCTAATAGTAATGCCTACAGCATTGCAGACTCGTAGGACTAGCGATAGGAACTGGCAAATCGCAATCCTAGCTAGCTTCAAATCCTACTAATCAGGGGCTCTAACTTTAAAAAGAGTTGACGGATGTAGTGGGAGAGGATCTAGTGAGATAGCTAGCTATATAAGGGATTCTAGTCCGTTTTCCGTTTAGCTTTACCCTTCTGCATTTAGCAGTCCCTTTGAGCACGCTTTCGATTAACGTTGGCCGTCTTGGAACATGTGTTAATGCAATGATAAAGACCATATAATTTCCCACCAATTTTCATCATGGTAGGGCAATAATGATAATGTGAACTATGATTGGTGTCCATCGATAGAGGACCACATGATTGAGCGTTTGGGCAAGTAGCCCTTGAGCGATAGTAAACCTCCCATTTTGTTACCTTCCATTTGATATACTTACTTGGGAAAGAAATTTCTAAACAAAAAACCCAAAATTCAAGGCAAATATACTAGATCTTGATCTTTTTTCAGCTAAACCTGATTTGACTGTCAATATTCCTGCTCTGTAAGGTGAAATCCCCTACTACTCCCTCCTACTGTATGTGGAATTCATTTAGTAGGACCTGTAGTACTAAGCGAATCGAGTGCACTTCTCCCATATACAAGAATAGCCGGCCGTTTATGTGGCCTCTGTTTCTGACGACACAGTCCAGTAGTCTTCGAATGTGGTCCATTTGACTCAAGATAATATAAGGGGCGTTGTATTCAATATCACTTCAAGATGTCTTTTCAGATATCTTTTCAGATGTTTATGTAGACGACTTTTCCATATATAACATGGATGTCTCTTTCTTTACAGATTGCTCTATCCTTACAAAGAATGCGATCGCTCTGGTGTTGGTCCTTATTAGCCTAAGTTGAGGGAATAAGTACTATATGGAAGCTTAGATATAGGGACTAGGGTTCATATAAAGCTTGCAGGAAGCAATACTGACGTTAGGGTCGACTTGAGGTGTGAATGAGAGGTTGGACGTCGATGGATGTCGACGGAAGGAATTTATGGGGAGGATCTGGGATCTGGGGGGTTATCACCGCCCGGGCTCCGCCAAGTTTATTGACAACATCCATTCTACATCATCTCTCCCCTCCCCTCTTCAATGCTTCAATAAGAGCCATTCGTCAAAATGCGGCTCCAGGCGGCGCTCTTTTTCGCCGCGTGCCTATCGCCCGCGGCGGCCATCTACTCTGACGAGGTCAACCACATCGACTTCCACCATGCTCTCCTCGGCGCCCCATCCCCCGATTCCACCTTCTTCCTCAAGCCATCCACATCTTCAAATGCTTCCCTCCTCTACACCCTATCCGATAAGCTGCTCGTGGGTGCTGTGAACCCCCGCGACGGCGCGCTGGTATGGCGCCAGAACATCTCGCGGTCGGCGGACTCTCCCGCACATGGGGCGGGTCTCTTGCGCGGATTAGATGGAAACGATGCCGTTGTAGCTGCGGTGGGTAACTACATCGCGTCTTGGAGTGCTCAGGATGGTAAGGTGGGATGGGAGAATCGGGTCTCCAAGGGTGTGGTTGCTGATCTCGAGCTGTTGGAGCTTGAGGATGCTACCGCGACCTCCGGGGTGAGAGATACGATTGCTGTGGTTGCTAGCGACGGTGCCGGGATTGTAAGACGGCTGGATGGAAATACCGGAAAGTCAGTGTGGGAATTCAAGGATACAAGGTTGGTTTTGTCTTCGACTTTTTTTTGCAAGTCCCAAGCTCATGAATTGTTCTTCTAGTGGTGACGTTCCGTTCCAAGTGTCGTCTTCTTCTACCGAGGTCTTCTATATTTCACTCCAGTCGGCTATGTTGAAGGGATTCAAGATCAAGTTCACTGCTTTGGATCCATTGACTGGGCGACAGACTCGTCAACAGATCCTAAACTCTGAGGCTGATGTGGCTACACCGGAGTCCGTCCTCTATGTGGGCGCTAATTCCGCCTCGCCTATCATCGTCTGGACCGACAAATCGCAAAAGTCTCTGAAAGTTAATGTTATTGGTACCAAGGAGGTCACCTCTATTGCCATTGACAATACCACCGGCTCCGAAATTCAAAAGATCACAGTCCACGCTCCCCACAAGCTCAACGCTCTGCCCCATTTCTTGGTCCACTTTGCAACCGAGGCCGGAGCCTGGGCTGAGGTTTACCACGTGGACCTGGTGTCTGCTAAGGTCACCAAGGCCTACCGGCTGCCCTATCTGCCCGGCCAGTCGGCGGTCGCAGCCAGTGTCATTGACGCTAATGTCTATTTCACTCGAATCACGGACTTGGAAGCCATTGTTGTATCATCCGCCTCTCATGGAGTTCTGGGACGATGGGATCTGCAGAAGCCTTCTTCTGACGTTGCCCTTCACTCAGTATCCGAGGTCGTTGCCAAAGGAAAATCTGTGGCTGTTAGGTCAGCGCTTTTCCGGAAGCACGGAGATTGGGAACTTGTCCGAAACGGCCAGATTGAGTGGACTCGACACGAGGGTCTTATTGATGCTGTCGCGGCTACCTGGGCGGAAACCGACGCCCAAGAGGATCTTGCTCATGAGCTGGAAGTCGAGGGTCACGAGACTTTGTACGGCGCGTACCTACACCGTGTGAAGCGTCATATCCGGGACTTGGAGCATCTGCCCGACTGGCTGAAGGATCTACCTAAGCGCATTCTGAGCAGTATCTTGGCCGACGAAGTGTCCAACCTGGACAGCTTTGGAGTTGCTAAATCAGTTATTGTCGCCACCAAGAACGGCCGTGTGTACGCCTTGGATACTGCCAACCACGGCGCCGTTTCGTGGGGCATCCAAGCAGTGGAGACATCGCAGTGGAATGTGAAGGCTATTTTGGCTTCACCAGGAGTCGCAACCATCTATTCCGACGATGGAAGCTCTGTGACTGTGGATGTGTCGACTGGGGAGATCGTTTCACGCATCGAACCGTCTAACAGCAAACTGCACTCGATTGCTGTCTTCGGCGCGCAAGATGGAAGTTTGCTGGCCACCGTCGGTGTCCGTGAAGATGGTACTCCAGTCACTGCATTTGCCGACGAAGATGGATTCTTGGTAACCACCAGCGTTGATGGCCGAGTCCTCGGCTGGGTTGCGAAGGATAACAAGACCCCTGTGTGGGAGTTTGTTCCTCCCTCCGGACAGAAGGTCGTCGAAGCGACCGCTCGCCCTGCGCATGATCCCGTGGCGTCTATCGGAAGAGTCCTTGGAAACCGCTCGGTCCTTTACAAGTACCTCAACCCCAATCTCGCCGTGGTGACTGCAGTGAACGAGCAGACCCACACCGCCAGTTTCTACCTGTTGGACGGTGTTTCAGGCAAGGTCCTTCACGCAACTACCCAAGCAGGCGTGGACTCCACGCAGCCCATCGCATCTGTCATGTCCGAGAACTGGTTCGCCTACTCATTCTGGGGCGATGTTGATGGCAGCGAGACCTCCGCCAAGGGCTACCAACTGGTCATTTCGGAGCTCTACGAATCCCCCCTCCCCAACGACCGCGGTGTTCTTGACTCTGCCACCAATTACTCCAGCACTGCCACCCTCCCGTTGCCCCACGTCATCTCCCAGGCCTTCATGATCCCCGAATCCATTTCCCACATGGCCGTCACTCAAACGCGCCAGGGCATCACCACCCGCCAGCTTCTCTGCACTCTCCCCTCCTCCAACTCGATCGTTGGCATTCCTCGCCCCGTCCTCGACCCTCGCCGCCCTGTCGACCGTGACCCCACCACGGCTGAGGCCGAAGAAGGCCTTTTCCGCTACGCGCCCTACCTCGACTTCGATGGCAAGTGGTACCTCTCGCACACCCGTGATGTCGCCGGCATCAAGGCCGTGCTCTCTCGCCCTACCCTCCTGGAAAGTACCAGTCTTATCTTCGCTTATGGAAGCGATATTTACGGTACCCGAGCCACGCCCAGCCAGGCATTTGATATCCTTGGCAAGAGCTTCTCCAAGCTGCAGCTCGTTCTCACTGTCGTGGCACTCGGCGCGGGTGTCGCAGTTTTGGCTCCCATGGTAAGTTTTAATCTATTTCTTTTCTTTTGTCTCTTGGTATCTTTGCTAATTGTCTTTTTGTCTAGACTCGGACGAAGCAAGTTAATGCCCTGTGGAGGGCTTAGGCCTTCTAGGCTCATATACCAGATGTTATATCGTGCTTTAGACTGTAATACATATATGTTGGTTGTCAAACTATCCCAATGTAGCATCCTAAATACTCGTATCCCACTGCGAGGATTAGTCACCCTACTATCCTCACGCCAGCCTGACCTGCTCAAAAGAAACTAAAATCTGATATACAGACAGTCACTGGTCATAACAAACATTTCATTCATTCATAAACGCGACATCCAAAGGATCTAACGTACCAAACAGCAGAGCAAAAGAAACCGTATAGCCAATATCAACAATCCTCCGCAACTGTACAGACATTAAATGTACCGATTTTCCGTACTAAAAAGAAATCAAAATCACCAAAAAGCCAACCTCACTCAATACAACGGCATAGGAGATGAATTGACATAATCAACATTGTTCTCAACAGACTCAATGCGATCAGTACAAGTCCCAAAGATCCGATCCCAAAGCCTCGTCTGCTTCCCATAGTTATGACTCTTCCTCCACCCCTTCCGATGATGCAAATCATGATCCTCAATAACAAGCTCCGCATCAAACCAACGCAAAGCGAAACTCAACGTCGACGGTGGCGTAGCATGAACCCGCAACCCACTATGACCCGCCAATTCCGCAAACACCACATACTGATGACAAACCCACCACTCATAGAACCCCATCGGCATCCCCATAAACCGCATACTGAAATACGTCAGAAGCGGGATACCGAGGATATCAAAGAACTCCTGCTCAGTGTCCGCGTACAGCGTCAGCAAGGGGTTCGGGTGCTTAGTAAGGTGGTGGGTACGGTGGTATTTCCACAACGCGCCGACATCGTGCATCAGTCGGTGGTACCAGTAGAACCAGAAGTCGAGGATAATCCCGTACAGCCCTGCTTCGAGAGGTAGCCAGATGAAGCTCATAGTGGAGGGCGGGTGTGTTGCATGGTATGCGATGAAGACGGTGAACATTGGTCGGAAGGTACTTGTCGACATGAGTGAGCGGACGACCTTTGCGACGCCGACGTCTGGCACCCCGTCGCGGGCGTGCTTGTCACCATCTAGGAACCCGTGCTGGTGGCCCAGTCGTCGGAGAACGTGGAGTTCGTGGATGGCGATGGTTTTGAATGCAAGGCCGTATAGGAAGAAGGCGCCCCAGGCGCTGAGGTTGTGGCCGGTGACCTCGACGTAGGCGTGGTGGATTAGGAGCGGTATGGCGGCGTGTGTGAGGACCCAGCGGTGCATGGACCAGTCGGGCACGTAGGGCACCGCGTCTTCCTTTAGATGGACAGGGATGTTCTGGTCGAGGTGTTCTGGGTGGATGCCGAGTAGTTCGTAGAACCAGTGGAAGAGAGTCCACTCTGAGCGGGCTTGTTGCCGCCAGGTAGACTTCATGGAGTCCTTTGGGTTACGATTCATGGCTGATTTGTAAACAGTATAAGGGTGTCGAAGTGCACACTTCAATATACCCTAGGTACGGGAGTTAGTGGGTTTTAAGTGCTTGGGCTTATTGTCGATCCCTCCCCAGTCGTTCGGCGATTGGCGACACTCGGCACATGTGAAGAAAGCCCACTTCTTTCATGCTCCCCGCAAAAATGAGCCTCGGGCGTTTGGCTAGATTAGAACATGATGTCGATCATATCTCGTCTTGGACTCTTTCCCAACAACATGGCCGTTTTAGCGCTCTAACTAGTGCTTGGGCTCAACATGGTGGCCTTATGTTTGTGTTTCTGGCTGATTCGGGGATGATATCATGATGCAAAGGCATTTATAAGTAAATTCTGTTTCTTTGGTCAATCGGGACTGGATACTAGATATCTAACGTATTTGGTCGTATAGATGTGATGTGGAGACGAGTCATGTGGTCAACCAAAGCCCTTATTCCCAATTGGTCAACTATTCACACAAGAGAGCAGGGTCCGATGGTATGGTAAATGGTATATGCTAGACAATTTATAGCTAGATTTGATATGTCTAGGTGGTCTACTTGACTACAATTCAAGACAGTCTGCCAAAATCCTTCCTGGGTGGCCGAGTGGGCGAGAGACACGAGATCATCCAATTGTTAGGTGGAATAATGACCACGGGTGAATCTGATACCGCACTAGGAAGCCTAGCAATGGTCAACCTGGTCAGGTTTTGGATCCTATTGGGAGTAATTGGGGCATGGATATCTTTTTTTCCTCCTTTCCTATATCAACCCTTCGCTACTTTTCTCTTCCGGGTTGTCTCGGGGTATAGTGGTATAGTAGGCCTATTTAAGAGGATATTCCAATATCATGGAATAATCAAATTGCTTTGGGGTCGCTTATATTGGACTCGTGTTGGGAGGTTTAATACGTGCATGGCATTCTCACGAACTTGGCACTGGGAGTTACTACCAAACAGATCATATTTCAAGCTTGAATCAGGGCCCATAAACAGTTTCAAATTGGGTTAATTCCACATAAGGAGAACAAGCTAGAACAAATCAACCAGAGAGACGTGTATAAATGTTGGAAAGATAAAACAAAAAAACGAGTACCCCAACAGGTTACCGACATTATGCAACAAATGCACGGGCAACTAAATTGTCCTACTTTGCAATATAAACCAGGAAGACAGATACTCGAGAACAAAAGACATGGAAGAAAAGATATACCTCGGTATTGAGATCTGCGCTATCTTGTGCTATGTCACATCGCTAATGGTATGTCCAACCACAAACCCCAACACGATTATTCCTGCTGCCTTTCTTTCTATGTGTTCTATGCGGCAACAGTATTCTTTGTCTCCTCCACAGATAACTGGTTGACCTGGACCGCCACATTATCAATAGTCTTCTCACTGTCATCAACTTTAGTCTCTGCGCTATTAGGAGCCGCCTTCTCTACAGAGTCAGCGGATTTAGCCTCTGACTCGACCGAAGCCTGTGTCTTCGGGATGGGAATGATTTCCCTGCGCTCCTTTCCATCAATAGTGCCCAGCACCTGGAGGTGATCGCCGTTGAACAACACAGGGCCCTTGAGGATATCCTTCCGCGTTTTGCCGTCCGCGAGCGGCTGCTCGATGCCGTGGAGCAATTCACGGCTGGGATCGTCCAAGTTGGGCATATCGCCCCACGACCAGTCCAGCTTGCCGCCGTATGCCTTGGGGATACTGGACGGCTCCATGAAGGAAGTGAGAGTTGGCTCGACTTCTGCGGCGGAGAGAATAAAGATCTTTGAGGTGGTGCCTGGGTCGAACCAGCGCTTGATCCAGCCCCAGACGGTTGGGAAGAATGATGGTGCTCCGATAATCTAGCAGTGAGTTAGTTCCACGATCTTATCTTCAACGGCAGAAGCTCTCCGGACGGATTAGACGGGGGATTTCACAACATACAAAGATTCGATCTAATGTCTCGGGGTAATGCGCCGTAGCTAAAACACTAGCATCCTGCATATGACTCTTCAAGTTCCAGAACTGCTTCAGTCCAACGCCGCTGACATCCACAATATTGGTTGAGGTCACAATAGGCGTCTCCGGGTTCGGACGTGGCAGCGCGGAAGCGAGCGGCATCACGAACCGGAGGAGATTCTCATACAAAGCGAAGAGATTCAACAAGCGCGCAGGGACTGTGGATGATTTGTGGGTTTCGGGTGTACCGCTAGTCATGGTGGAGTTGTAAGCAGCGACAGCCTTGTTATCCAGGTGGCGGATCTGGAAGACGTAGATGGGGATTCCGCGGCGATCGCGACGGCCTGTCCATTGGGGATACTGTAGAGACAGTAAACGTTAGCAGGAGATATGTATATTTGTTCGCAAGGGATTGTAAGACGCACCATGCGTCGAGCAGCCTCGTATGAATCCACGCTGATGTTCTCATATAGCTTCTCGATGGCGTTGTCTTTGCGCCAGTCTTCAGTGTCCTTGAATTGCGCCCATGCGCCCTCGACATCAAACTTGCGAGCGCGCAGGAATCGCCTGCGCAAAAACCAAAGTCAGTACTCGATCATCTTGTTTCATTCATCCACTTGTAGCTGTGCTGGGGTATAGCGTTGACGCGCCACATACAATAAAGTCGCATCGTCCTGGCTAGCGGGTTTCGCCTCGACGCCATCTGCTTGTTCCACAGCAGGGGTGTAGTATTTCCGCTCAGCGCAAAGTGCCTTAAACTCGTTCAGCTTCCCCTGCTGCTCTGGTGTAAGGTGGTGCAAGTGTCCGGCGAGCCATTCAGTGCCGGAAGCTTGGGAGGCGGAAGCGGCTGGATCGTTCTTTGACGAATCGGTGCGCACCAGGTCCTGTTCGGAATCCTGCGGAGTTTTGTTGCCCCAAAACATGGTGAACTCTTATCTCTTAAGATTTACTTTTTTTTTGAAGGAGAGATCAACCTTTCTGAAACAGATTCTCGGAGGTGGCGGAGGAGAAGAGGCGGTGAAATAAATACGGTATTTGGTCCCGAGATTGGTGTTACTGGAGGTTAACTTTATTTGTGATACATCTCTTCCCTCTATCACCTCTATCGCCTCTACAACCTCTTTTTTTCGGTGAGATCTACGTCTTTCTTTGAGATTGTTAAAGGTTGAGATATATTTCTGCCAAAGTGTAGTTATCTGCCCAAATACATCAAATACATCAAATACATCGCAGATCCATTGATCAATAAAGCTAATTGGGAGATGAAGTTAGGACATGCTAATGTTGTGGATGTCATATGAAAACACAAAAATAAAATAAAATTCCAGCCTAAATTAAACCAAGCACCCATATCTCAGTGTACACGGCACAGCCAGATGCTAACCATAGGACCAATCCCAACAATATCTGTACAGATCACCCTCATACAGCTCAAAATTCAAATAAATACAAGAAATTAGTCCTCGGTAAGATCACCATACTCCCACATACCGCGGCGCTCAGCCTTAGCTTCGTCCTCGAGCGTGCGCAGGTTGGAGAGGGTATCGACGGAGGCACGCTCCCAAGCCTTCAGCTTGCGGGGTACCATGGCCATACCCTCGTGAATAATGTCAGCGTTGATGCTGTTATCCAAGTTCTTGGAAGCAGCGGGGTCAAGGAGAGTGACGTGCAGGGTGCCGTCCTGGTCGACGTTGTCAACGTTTGCGACGAGCTGGCGATCGAAGGTCTGGTCGCCGATGAAGCCGACGGCGTCCTCGAGGTAATCCTCGGAGGTGGGGAACTGCAGAAGAGAGAGGACTGCATCAATGGCCTGGGGGCGGAGGGTCTGGCTAGAGAATTGGGGTTGGGTGAGAGGGCGAAGTGATGCCCATGGCAGAGTCTCGGAGTTACCGAAGTCGATGTAGAGCACCTCAGCCTGCTCCTTCTCGCGGTCGTTGCGGCGCACCTTAGCACGGTACCAGTCACCGTCTTCGGTGAATTGGGCGGCAACCCAGTCGCCGGCCTTGGGAGGGCCAGGCAGCGGGGTGTCGTTGGCCTTGTTAATGTGGAACTTGCGGAAAGCGCTCATCAGTTCGGTGAGCGCGTTGGTGCCGGTACCGATCTGTTGCAGCTTGAGCTTTGCGGAGGTAGGATCGATGTAGGTAACCATAACATCGCGGTAGTCCTTGCGACGCTGAACGGGGGCGGCATCGCTCTCGGCGCCAGTTCCCGCGCCATTGGCAGCCTCGGCTTCCTCAGCCTCAGCGGCCTCCTTGACGGGGTCCCAGTCGTGCCACAGACCCTTACGGGCTTCCTTGGCTCGTTGTTCCGCAGCGAAATACTCATTGGCGTGACCAGATTGCTCAGCCGAGTATGCATGGACGGTGGCGAAACCCTCCTCCAGCAGAACGGTTGTGAAGTTCTCCTTGTTGATGTAAAGGCTGCCAATAAATCCGCCAACCTTGTCAATGGTCTCAACGTCAATCTCAACGTCGCGCTGCATGCAGCGGCGGTTGGCAAGGTCGTGGGCCTCCTGGCCGAAAGGCTCACCGGCGTCGCTGGGCCCGCGGGAAGAGCGAGGAGCACGGATGCCGGAAAGGACGAGGGTCAATTTGGCGTTATCGCGGGGAACTAGAACAGTGAAGCGAGAACCAGACTTGACAAAGTCGACGACAGCAGGGACACGCTTTTGACGCTGCAAGACACCAAGCTCCAGCTTGGCCTTTTGTACGCTCTCTGAGTAATCCACCACCTGCTTCGCCTTAGGAGCCTTGGAAGACCACATTCCACGGCCTTCCTTCTGAGCATCAGCCTCAGCAGCGAGAAGTGCATCATAGTCGGGAGACCGATCAGCGTCGTCCATACGGTGGCGAATTACGGAGGAGTAACCAGCCTCTACAAGAGCCACACCAACATTGGTGTTACCCTGTACAACAGTAGCCACCTCACGCTCCTCGTAGCCCTCGTTGGCAGGCTTCTTGCCGTTCACGGTGACCATGACATGCTTGGCAATTACCCGCTTGCGCAGGTACTCCTTCGCCTCGGCAGCATAGGGAGACTGCTTGGGGTCGGAGGGCTTCGGCTGGCGGATACTGGCGAGGCTAATCTTCTTCTCCTGGCCAGCCTTGTTGCGGATGAAGAGGGTATCCGCATTCAAAACACGGGTGACAACGTAGTCCACGGCCGCGGCACCGGCGGTCGTGGGTCCCGTGTGGCTAACCCACAATCCCTTGCGGTCAGCCTTCGCTGTAAGTTCTGCCTGGCGGAGAAGAGCCATGTCCGGACCCAAAAGCGTGGAGTGGTGATCCTGGCAGCGGGCCAGACCAGCCTCAAGAAGGAATCGAGAGATGTTTCCGTTGGGGTGAAGGAGAGTGGCAACAATTTGTCCCTGCGGCGTAACGCCAACCAGAGAAACCTTGACCTTGCGCTGCAACAATCGTTCCTCAACAAACTGTTGTGCCTCATCACCAAACGGCTCAGCCGCGGTCTCCTTGCCATCAGTAGTCGTGCGCTTAGCGGATGGTGCCCGGACACCAGCAATGGCAATAACGGTCTGAATGTGCTCCTGCGGCTTGAGCAGCAAACGCAGCACAACACGGTCACCATTCAGGACCTTCTCGATAATGCCCTCCAGCTGCTGGCCCAAGTTACGCTTAACCAAATCACGAGCGCCAGTCAACTCGTAGCTAGTATCGATCTCGCCATCTTCGCCGCCGGCCCAAGTTCCCTTTCCTTCGTCCTGAGCGAGGGATTCTAATGCCCGCAGGCGTGCCAGGAGTGCAACGGTCTCCTCAGATTCATCTGCGCGCTTGCCTGCCTCTTCACGGACACGTGTCCAGCCCTCCTGCACACTGATATCGGGCAATGAGGCATCGAAACCGGGAAGCTTGATGGTACCGTAGTCGCGCTTCGCACCAGTGGGGATGGTATACTCAACGTGGAACTGGACGACTTTGCCGACAAGGAGCTCACGGAGGAATTCGCGGGATTGGAAGGCGTATGCCTATAATGGATTATTTGCATTAGTTTTGTCTTTTTTTATTTCTTCTCCTTCAGTCATGATCAATTGATCCAATGCTGTGCGTAGCTCGTATGGTCCAGAAAGGCCAATTAGAGATCCCAACAAGCAACAATCTGGTCTTCCAATGGTGCAATCAACAGGCAATTAATCTCAACAATGCACATACCTCATCGCCCTCTCTCCTTAATCTTGGAGCAGAAACATAGGCCAAACTCAGGATACGTTCTTGTGAAGGGTTGGTAATATGCGACAGCACGACCGTGTCACCGGACAGGACGGACTTGACCCGGGCTTCGAAAGGCATACTGAATGAAACAGTCTCCACTACCACATACACAATTGTGATGAGATTGAAGACAGAACCAGAATAAAAGTAAACACAAGGAAGAGAAAAAGAAGTTGAGAGCAAGGGGAATGTCCTGAGGGGAAACGTGGCCGGTGTTTAGACTTGTGGGGGAAAGCGGTCAGCCGATCCGAGCTTCTACGGAAGTCTACAAAGCATCGAAGCTATACAATGCATCGATCACGACAGAGATCCAAATATTAACATGGCAATTTGGCATTCATTCATAACCCTAGACGGCGTAATCTGCAATTTTCATCCACCAACTACGGGAATTTCAAAATCCAGGTTTCAAAAGGGGATAGAACCGCACATTTATGCGGCAATACCAATGACACCTAAAACATCTTATTAGCATCCATCTCCACTACAGCACGCCTTCATGCACTTACCGCAAGCAGGGCGGGGACCGGCGTTACCGGTCTTCTTGGACTCCTCGTTACCACCCTTGCCAAGGTCATCAGTACCGGCGTGGACGACAAGAGTGCGCTAAATTATATTAGCCATATGTTTCAGCAATGCCAGATATCAATTATAAACTCACGCCCAGAACGGACTCGGCACCAATCAGCTTAACAAGGCTATCCTCCTTGGAGCCGGTGGCATTACCCTCAGCATCGGTCTTGAAGTTGCCAAGGTCACCGACGTGACGGTCGGTGTCAGTGGGAGCACCGTGGTTCTTGCCGAAGGGGTTGACTAGAAGTAATCAGTACTCAATCCTTCCTCTTCCTCTTTGGCTCATCGTGAATGGCTTACAGTGAGGGCCAGCGGAGGTGCAGCCGTTGGTGTTGTCACCGAACTGGTGAACGTGGAAAGCACGCTCAGCGTTGGCGTCGTGGCCGGTAATGTTCCAGGAGATAGTGGTGGGGGCACTCTCGGAAGCCTGCTCGAAGGTGACGGTGCCGGCGACCTTAGCGTCACCACGGAGGACAGCAACTGCAACGAAACAGAAATGGTTAATGAATTGTTCCAGAAGGCTTATCGAAGGCTGCCCGGCATGCCGGTTACTGGATCTCCAGGCCACTGGGGTCTGATCTCAGCCTCAGCAACGGGTGGTGCCGCACTGGCCCAGGGTCAGGATCGGAATGCCACACTTCTAGCAAATGAGCAGCGATGATCCCCAGCCTTGTCCCAGGGGCATTGGCAGACATCCAGACAGCAGTGGAGAGCTAGTGCGAGGATGCAAGCCGATAGGTCCGGATTTGGGATCTGGGTCACAAGGTGCTCAAATCTGCTCATACCCAAGGTCCCCTCGCCACACAGATCGTGGGGAACTTGGGAGCTGAAGATCTTTATGGCCCAGAGAGAACCAGTAATGGAAACTACTTACCAGCCTTAACCATTTTGATTATCTTAAAAAGTTTTTAGTTTGAAGATTGAAGAAGAAGGGTATTGTGAAGGAAGAGGAGAGGAAGTGGGCGGACGAAGATAATAAGGCGGATGATGTTGACGTGACTCTACTGGTATCAGCAAAGTATCAGGTACATGTATTTCAGTGTAAAAAGCGCCGAGTACACCTGTACCTGGTACCTAATACCAAAGCAAAACATCCCCCACCTTCCCAAGTGGGGAGCGAGTCGGAGCTCGGGAAATGACATAATTATTAATACCATCGTGAACATCTCAATTTTGAATGGGATACCTCCTCTGTACGGACAATTGCCATATCACTGCTACTATGGGCTTCAATATTTAGACATAATTCTTGCGCTTGATTGTTTCTTCTTTGTACAGAGAGAGGTGACATAAAATGTACGTAGCTACCTAGGTGTACCCGTGGACGTACCGGATATTGCCTGCGGGGTTTTCCTATTTGAGCTGCCGCTTTAAGAAGGGCAGTCAGACTCAGGCTCCCAGAGTAAATACCAGCACGAGCTCGGAGCCACGTGCATAATGACTAATCCATTTTCTATCACGTTGATAGTACGGAGTACATAGACAAATGTAGCAGTTTTCAGAAGAATGTTATCAAAATTTATGAAATTCTTTGAATAACTGCTCATTTGTCATTTGGCAGAGCAGAGAAGAGAACACGTCCCCTGAGACTTATATAGCCAAATCAAGATAATTGTGCATTAGACTTGAAGTACAATAAGCTTTCGGATGGAGATAAAAGAATCGTATACGATAGCAGAGTTAGATACAACGAAACAATAAGCCGAGAGGGTGCAGTAGAGTAAAGACCGTGTAAAATAGGAAAAAGTAGAAATATTACAAAAACAGGTACAAGTAGGGTGATCAGAATTTGGAGTGTTCACAGCTGAGTTGTAGAATCCTCACCTGGAACTACAAATCCTGGATCTGTCATCAGCGGGTCATCAAGGTTATGCAGCAGGCTTTTCTGCTCCAAGGTCACATCTTGACTTTGTTCCATAGAGTACAATGTGTCTAAAGATTAATGAGCTGATTAGTTACCATCAGTGGCTTTGTGCTAACCAGAAAAGGGTCTGGACGGAGAATTGCTTACCTTTGGAGAGTTTCTCCTGCCAGGAATTCTTCTTCTTCTTCCCGTATATGATATCATACATGGACTCGCCACCTTCAGGGTCATGAGGTTTCTCAATAGGGGAACTACCGGAGTAGGCCTGAACGACAGGTCGCAGCGCATCGATGACAACGGGACCGTACTTGATGACAGTGGGTCCATATCTGGCGGCTGCTTCTTTGATCGCGGTAAAAAAGCCTTCCGCTTGGAGTTTGTCAAGAGAAGCGTCTTGAAGGACGGAGGCAGCTGCAGCACCAAGCACAGCCCTCTTGCCTAGAACAGTCAAGTCTGCATCGAGTGGCGTGGACTCATCGAAGGAACTTTCGGTCTTGGGAGGAAGCAGCGTGTTGGCGACATCTAAACCCTTCTGAACGATACTGACGCCTTTGTTTGCAGCAGACAAGACAGCGCCAAAAACGTCCCAAATGCTCTCCTCAACGGGTTGCTTATACGGAGCGTCGATAATGCGTTTCGCGAAACTATCCTGCATCCTCTCATACGACTCCGGCTTCTGAATCGGCTTGACGACTTCGCTCTGACCAAGGTCGGTTTCGGGATTTGCAGCTTTTGTAACTAGAGTTTGCCGAACGATATCTTGAGAGAGTGGAAGAACAGAGGCCATGACAGCTGGCAGGACCTTCGGTGACACTCGCTCGACTGCTATGGCGCGTTTGCCGTATTCGACCATCAGCTTTTTTCTGAGTTCCTCGCGGAACTTCCGGTCCTTCACTTTGGAGTGGAAGAAGGCGTGAAGACAAGCTTCGTTCATGATAGCCTGGTGGACCACGCTAGGCTGCTCTTTCGGGTCACCGAACTCACTCTCAGCTCCAGTTTTATTTCCTTTAGCAGCGAGCTTCTTCCCGGCAGCACCAATGGCTGTGCCAGCCAGCGCAGCCAAAGGACCTCCAATAGGGCCGAAGAAAGGGCTCGCCATCTTGAGAGCATCACCCACAATAGGGGCCCCAACATCCATTACACTCTTCATGGTCTGCCAGAAGTCTTCTTCCTCGTCGAAGCCACTCTCCCCCTTGGGGTTCATGTCGACGTATGTGACACCCTCACGGAGCACGAGCGGCTTGACTATGTCGAATGTTTGATCAAAGACAGAGATATACTTCTCGTACGGGTTTCCAAGTTTTCCAATTGCGCTCGCGGAGTTCTTGCCACCTCCTCCGTAAACATGGGCTCCAATGGACACCTGCGCCGACCCATTCGACCCTCCTTGTACAATGACCGGGGATCCGGACTGGCCTATGGGAGCACATGAGAAAAGCATCAAGGGGGGATGAAAGATCGGAACCGCTTACCTCGGTAGGTGTTGATACGATACTCCAACATGTTCACAGTAGACCTCTCGCGGTCCCAGGCGACCTGGCGGAACTCCTCATACATCTGGGCACCCTTTTCACCTCCATAGTCTTTATCGCCCGGATATCCAACAACTCCAATCGTCTTGTTGTCTCGAAGGGGCGTATCCTGGAACTTGATCGGCGTAATTCCAGTAAAGGGCTTGTTTAGCCGGATGAAAGAAACATCATTCTGGCGGTACATCCCGGACTCCAACCATTTCTGGGTGGTAACAATTTTGGCGCCGTAGCGGAACTGGACAGCCTTGCTCTCCAGTGCATCTTTGGTTACGGAGGCTTTGCCATTGTAGCCAATGAAGGCCCTAACTTCGATGGCGCGTCCAAAACCCTTGCCATCATTTTGGCTCCAATCAAAGGCACAATGACCTGCTGTCACGAGAAGGTCATCCTGGATCAACCAGCCGGTGCCCATGGCATACCGTTTGTCATCATCTTCCTGGCCCGCATAGCGCATGAAGAGCTTGACGATAGCTAATTGCCTTCATTAGAATAGTGACCCGTAGTTTGACGACATGGAGTTACTTACATCGGTACTTGCCACCGTCTTTCTGAAATTCGTCAACGGGAACTGTCTTGCGATCATCCTTGAGATCTTCAAACACGGATTCTTCCTGATGTTCATCTTTCAAGTGTTGCTCGGCTGCCCCCAGGGTAGCTGCACTGAGATCCCAAGTTCCTGCAATCAGAGACATCGTGATCGAAAGTAGTAAATGAGTAAAAAGTGGTCAAGAATGATAGATAAAGCGTGTGAAAGCTGAAGGAAAGCGACCTGGTATAGTGAGTTGAAAACAGCTCTACAGTCCCCTACTTATACCCCTCCACAGCTGTAGATTCTTCATTCCCTCGCCTCATCTTGCCGACTTGAAATGTTGAGTAGCGATGTGATAGTGGCTTAGCTGGAGAGGAAGTTTGCGACAATATGAAACTGCCAGCTGATCTGAACATACGACTCTCGACTCTCGACTCTCACATCAGCGACAACTTAAGAATAAACTGCCGACCCTCGGGCTAGCGTAAACCAGTTTTTGCAATGTCGTCGTCTTTTATTTCCATATTTTCTGAAGAATAAAAGCCACAGATACGCCACAACCACTAGTACCTACATGGCTCGGGACGACCCCTGCAGAAACAACTCAACGGCGAATGGTAATTGGCCTGTTAAAAAATAAGCGCCGTCCTTCAGCTGGCTTACGCAAACAGCTGTTCGCATGAGATTACCCAGAGCAAGCTCTTCGGTTCTTCTTGCCATTGCCTTCCCCGCACTGTAATACACTAGTGATGCCCGTGGCGTATCGGGAGGGCCGACTCGTGACACTTCGAGCCAATTATTATTAGAATATATCCAGCTCCAACGAATTTTGTTCGCCGGAGCTCTCCTAGAGCTAATTCTGGGGCTTTTTGCTGTTCATGATTGGCTCTCTGTGCGTGCTCCCGTTCTTTGCATGCATATCTGTATGTCCCGACCTCAGCGCCCGAGTCGTGCCATATACGGAACTATCTTATCAAAGATGAACGTGATACAGGCAAAACTGGGTAATCCGAAGTAATCTTTGCAGGGGAAATATTTCAAATTAAAGATTTCTCAAATTATCAATGGGTTATTTGCACTTTTTGCTTATGCAGTTCATATTTGTGAGATTTACTGCAAAGGTGATAATGTGGGATCAACGCAAAATCAGGCCAAGCTCGCCGCAATCACTTCATGCCCTTTGAGCTTTAAAAGGCCCCGGGCTGTTGATGGTCTTGGGTCTGAAACACCTGCAGTTGGCATGGCGATCAAGAAGATTGTCCCGTACAGCGTAAAGTTGTACCACGAGCTTTTTCATCTCACCAATACAGCGGATAGAGTCCCCGATCCCTTCTGTAAGATCTCATGGTCTGCTATCTAGCCTAGGCAGTGTGGGCCGTTGCTTATAACTCAAAATCATATGGGAGGAAATTGAAACCGCGCTCAAGGATACCGCAACCATAGCAGAACAATATGAGCCTCTGATCAATGAGGAGCTAGTGCGCCAAAACCCCGAGACATGTCTTCTTCGGCATGGGGTACTGGTATATACTACAGACCAACTGGAACAACAACTAGAACAACCCAAATAAACGATGGAGCTTCGAACCCGGTGTAGCGGAGTTGCTCTCAATATAATGAGTCAATAAGAAGATAAGAGGAACTTCCCATGGGGTTTAATTGACTGATATGGGTATAGTATGTATTGACTGTTCAGAATTTCACACCAACGGTCTTACTCGTTTCTTTTCTTAAATAGCCTGGAAAGGCCGGCCTGCCATAAGAAAGCCCCGGATAAGTGAGCTCCGTGAAATCAACAAAATCCTCCTTCCATTCCATAGCTCCTACTTTTTCTAGCGCATCGATGTGTCTCTCCCTTAACGATTTGGCGCCGACTATAAGTTCACCTTGTCTAGTGTGTTTCCCAACATGCATATACTCAGTTCTCTCTGCACTCCGCCAGAAATGTGGCCACACCATCAATTGAGCTTCTTGACCATGCAATGGTTCTGTGTGTGTGGCCCATACCTTTGAAGGCGTTTCAAGTTGAGCTCGCTTCAGAGGGCGGGGGTTTCGACTATCCATCAAGACGGCCGGCTGGCGAATGCCTTTCAGTTTCCAAATTTCATCCTTGTGAGCTTCGGTCATAGGTGTTGGAAAGTAAACCCAGAACAATTGAGCGTATGCATTTAGCAAGGAAACGAACAAGTAGGTCCTGAGATAAAATGTCTCAAAAGAGGAGATATATATTATCCCTTTACTCGGAAGATTTTCCCAATAGTGCTGGGCGGAAGGCGAGGCTGTGAATCCCCTGAGATTCGACTCTTTCTCCCATGCTTTTTATGAAGCATTAGCGGGTTAAGTCTTAGTGCAAGTTTGCTGCACGACTCGACTTACATGTTACTAAAAGAATCGTGTCCGGGCGATTTTGGAACCTTGCCCATGCAGACCCCGCGTGTCCCGGGGCCCGAGCCAGTGGCTCAAAATATCCAGACCATTCGGTATCTAGCTCTAGGTCTTTGGGGACTTGGAACTCGGTCCAGGTAAGAATTTCTCTGTCCTTGTAGTGGTCCACCAGAACCTTGGCTGAATCTGCCATGGGTGAAAATTTGGGATTTGGACAGAAACAGGAGTTTGTAGTGGTCTACGAGATAAGTCCAGGTTTAAATATGGCCTCTAGCCACTAGTGACTAGTGGTAAACAAGTTAGCACGTACAAGAGTACAGTACATAGTATGTGTTCACATATGATGGTCAGGCGGTCAGATGATCCATGCTCAATTAGCTTATGTAATTAGCTGTGAGCGACTGTTCAGGGGCGTGCTCAATTTTACTCTGAGGGCAAAAAGCGGCAAGAGCTGAGCACTAAAACGGAAGGGAGGTCTCGAGTGCCATTAATTTCTTAGCCCAGTACCTGGTACATGTGTATTTGGTTTGTATCGTTGCACAACTGTATCACATTCAAAGCTCCGAACCATCCTATCAGTAATTGACACAACCTCGGGTAATATAAAATGTATCAATACATAGCAGCATGCCGAAGTGAAATGACACCATAGCTTGAAGACACTAGTGCGGGGGTCTGAATCTGAATAAGCCGACCCGGCTAGATTCCGCAGTTTACCCCTCAGACTTAGTCTAATTTTCTACACCGACACCGGAGAATAAAACACTGGGGACAATTTCATCAATTCGTATCTACCGATTCCAATTTTTGGGAGATCGCAAATTTACAATTAAACAATTAAAAGAAGATCAGAACCCAACCTAAGCCTGGATCTTCTGGGCAAGGAGCTCCTTAAGAGTAACGGCATCAGCAGCGAACTTGGAGATACCCTCACGGAGCTTCTCAACACCCATAGCCTCCTCGTTGAAGTCGAAGCGGAAGGCAGCCTCGTTGTGGAGGTACTCGCGCTTCTTGATCTCAAGGCTGGCGGCACCAGCGGGGTTGAGCTTCTGGGGAACGGCCTCGGTGGAGTTGTAGAGGTCCTCAAGGAGGTTGGGGGAGATGGTCAGGTAGTCACAACCAGCGAGCTCGGTGATCTCGCCAACGTTACGGAAAGAGGCACCCATGACAATGGTGTTGTAGCCGAACTTCTTGTAGTAGTTGTAGATGTCCTGGACGGACTTGACACCGGGGTCCTCCTGGGGGGTGTAGTCGCGCTTGTGGGCAGCCTTGAACCAGTCAAGAATGCGACCAACGAAGGGAGAGATGAGGTAGGCACCGGCCTCGGCGGCGGCAATGGCCTGAACCAGAGAGAACATGAGGGTCAGGTTGCAGTTGATGCCGTGCTGGGACTGGAGGATGTGAGCGGCCTTGATGCCCTCGTAGGTGGAGGCAATCTTGATCAGGACACGGTCCTTGGAGATACCGTTGTCGGCGTAAAGCTGAGTGGCAATAGTTAGCTTGGAATTCTCGAAGGAATATTTTGGGTGAACTGGTGAACGTACCTTGATGATCTGGAGAGCCTTGTCGACGGAAGCCTGGGTGTCGAAGGAGAGCTTGGCGTCAACCTCGGTGGAGACCTTGCCGGGGATGATGTTAAGAATCTCCTTTCCGAACTGAACGAGGAGACGGTCAAGAGTGGCCTCAACCTGCTCGTCAAGGGTCTTTCCGTTCTGCTTGCCGTATGCAACGGCAGTGTCGATAAGAGCGGCATACTCGGGCTTCTTGGAAGCAGCGAGAATCAAAGAGGGGTTGGTGGTGGCATCCTGGGGCTTGTACTTGCCAATAGCTGAGGTTTACGTTAGCTAGCCATTCAATGTTGGAACCCATGTCACGTCAAGAAATCTGGAATACATACTGGCGAAGTCACCTAGAAATTTAGTGTTAGCGTGTATTCAATGCAACCCAGATAGAATTGATTAGCTTACCAGAGTCGCAAACGACGACGGTGCCAGTAGCCTTAAGCTGTTCGAGAGAAGAAGACATTTTTTATGTATTGAAAGTGAGATAGGGGGAGTGTGAAGAAGAGAGAGAAGAGTGGCGGGCGGCGTTGTGTTTAAGAAGGAGGGGTGGTGTCATGAACCAGAACCAGATCAATTGCCGGGTACTTAGGTTTAGTATGGAGTTGTCATATTAAATGGAAGTACCTGGCCTGTGCCCCGTTTTTCAGGTTGGATGGTGGGGCAAATGACGCTGCAGGATGAAATCAGACAGCGCTGGCCTTAACAACTCCAACTTCAATCGGCTTGTTTCCCACTGCTTCTTGGGTTCTTTACTGTTCTTCTTCGATCTTTGCGGTCTTTATATGCTCTAATTGATCAATTTCAATATGACTTCATATCTAGTTTGCTTGAACAGATGTGCTACAATCCCAAATCCGGCGCAGAGTGCTCCGCCTTCCCCCAACCGCCGGAGGATGGTAGACCGGACAACGGCCCACTACTGCATCGGTCTTTGTAATTCTCACCGGGAGCCCGGATAAATACATATCGACGGCTAGTTATGGAGAAATATGGTTTCCGAACACCTTGGCTAGAGACCGTACGGAGTAATCATTTTCGTGGAGGAGGTTGCTTGAAAGGGGAGCCACAACCACCACAGCCTATTAACAATGCATATATATATATCTATCTATATATGTCTCTCTCATTTCGCCTAGATACCTACAGCTTGTTCTACTAGGGAGGTTTTCTACATCATCTTCCGTGTCATTTCATCAATCGAACATTCTTCCGTTTG